AGGTCACCATTCTGTCGCAGGGCTAACACAGAGACAACCATTTGCACTCACAGGTAATCTAGAAACACCAACTAACCTAACTTTTCAGTTGTGGGAGGAAGTCAGAGTTCCCACTGCAAACTCGGCCAGACTGTGGATTTGACCACAGGACCTTCTTGCTGTGAGGCAACAGTGGTAACCGCTGTGCCACTGAGCCATCAATCCAGGCTTAAAAACAGGTGGAAGGCTCGATACACAATTTTCTGCACGTTTTTGTCTCTGACAGGCTAAACCACAGTAAAGAGCGATAGCATACACGTGGTCGTCTGCCTCTTAGAACTCCAGAGATTTTCCTGTGGTCACCACAGAAACAGGAAGTTATTTTGTTCAGATTACCAGTTAGAATCTTTTAAATGTAACAACCGCCCACTTTCATTTCCTTGAGTGTTTCACTGGGTTTTCAGGTGGTTTTTGTGGAGTTTGTGTCTGTTCGCCTCACTAGAACATGCTAGTTCGTTTAGTCCCGGAGAGGCTAGGAGAGAGATTCTCGCTTCCTTGTTGGTCCAGATGTGGACAGATGCAGATGTGTCCAGTCGAGCTGTGATGCTGGCAGGTTGGGGAGGGCGGGTCAGGTCCACCTGCACGTGTCCGTGTTAGTCGCACAGATGTAACAGTAAACTAACAGCTGACCTCCGCTCGAACCGTCGTTGGCGTCACGTTTGTCACGCGTTCAGCAGCATGAAGTCCAGATTGAGGACAGGTGTGTCAAACAGAGACCTTCTGATGTCTTCTGCTTCATGTCTCTCTCTTTCTTCTCTTCAGCTGTGTTGCTTCAGGAAGTCGGTAAGCCGCTTTCTTTGTCCCCTTCCTGTCTGCAAACGTTTATGTGTGTCGCTTTCATGATTTCTAAGAATTGCCACAAAACCAAATGACTAACTCTGACTTCCTGTTTCGTACTTGCTGTCCTTTCAGGTGGATTCGTTAAGACAGGTAGGTGAAAGTGAGACGATATCTGACATGTGAGCATTCACTGTGTGTGTGTTAATTTGTGCTTTTTGTGACTTTTTGATAGACAAACAGCTGTATGGTAAGACACCTGTCAGTGGTGTAAATGTTGGCTTTCAAAGTGTGTCAACACTGAAAGCAACGTGTACGATGGTAGCGGCGTCTTGTAAGCTCTTCATGTGACTCTCATTTATCACCTTTAAACGTCGGGCGCCTGAGACGAAGCCCCGAATCTCAGATTTAGACGCTTAAAGCCAAACTTGAGCAAACAGACCAAAGCCCGTTCCCGCTGCTCCCTCAGGCCCGAGAAGCGTTTGTGTTTCACTGCGGTCACCAACGTGCGACGGGTGATTGGCATGTCCCGCGTAGAGCTGGTCATGTGACTGCATGCGTCCTGAACGCCGCCACAGAGTGGGCCGAGCTACAGTGGCTTGCAAAAGTATTCGGCCCCCTCGAACTTTCCCACATTTTGTCACATTACAGCCACAAACATGAATCCATGTTATTGTAATTGAAAGACCAACACAAAGTGGTGAACACGTGAGACGTGGAACGAGAATCAGACATGACTCCAGACGTTTTTTACAAATAACTGCAAAGTGGCTTCAGAATTGGAGTCCATCTTTTACGTACAGGCTGACCCGTTCTGTGTGTCATCGTGATCACAGATGAAACAGCACCAGCTCTTGTTATGTTTACTTCCAGGGCATCACGCAGGGGAAGAAGCTCAGGGTAATTTAAACATGGCGTCCATCGGCACGCTGCGACACCATCGTTCCTGTTATTT